AATAATGAACGAATTCCTATGCCCCACAAATAACCCAGAGACGCATTTTAAAGAAAAGGGCACATTCTACTCATGTCAAAACACCAGGCAGGCCCCACAAAAACCCAGAGGTGCATTTTAAATAAAAGGACACATTCTACTCATGTAAAAACACGCTGATTCCCGGACCGTCCGCGGACCGGATTGAGAAGGCGATTGGGCCAGATCCGGCCCTGGGCCTTAGTTTGCCTACCCATGCCCTAGATCAATGATGGCAAACCTTTTAGAGACTGAGTGCCCAAACTGGAACTCAAAACCCACTTATCGCAAAGTGCCACGGCAATCTAACCTGTATATCTCATCTTTTTCTGCGTGTTTCATGTTTCTTCTTTAGGACTGCTGTTGTAATAAATAATCCTTCACAAAAGTTATTGCATTACATTCTCCATTCAATTATCTTTCCGTCGATATCTAATTTTATGGTATAACTCAGTGCTTCTTTTCTTAAAAATGTTTAGGGGTACTCTCGTTTTGGTCCAAGTCCATGGGACTCTCAAGTCTCTCCTCCAACACCATAATTCAAAAGCATCAATTCTTTGGCGATCAGCCTTCTTGATGGTCCAGCTCTCACTTCCATACATCACTACTGGGAAAACCAGAGCTTGAACTATATGGACCTTTGTTGGCAAGGTGATGTCTCTGCTTTTTAAGATGCTGTCTAGGTTTGTCATTGCTTTTCTCCCAAGAAGCAGCCGTCTTTTAATGCTGATTATTACCACAGCGGGTGGCGCTGTGGGTAAAACCTCAGCACCTAGGACTTGCCGATCGCATGGTCGGCGGTTCGAATCCCCGCGGCGGGGTGCGCTCCCGCCGTTCGGTCCCAGCGCCTGCCAACCTAGCAGTTCGAAAGCACCCCCGGGTGCAAGTAGATAAATAGGGACCGCTTACCAGCAGGAAGGTAAACGGCGTTTCCATGTGCTGCGCTGGCTCGCCAGAGCAGCTTCGTCATGCTGGCCACGTGACCTGGAAGTGTCTGCGGACAGTGCTGGCTCCCGGCCTTTAGAGTGATATGAGCGTACAACCCTAGAGTCTGTCAAGACTGGCCCGTACGGG